TGATATAGATGGGTATGTTAATAGTAGAATTCAAGCTGGTTGGTTGAAGTGGAGGAATGCTTTGGGCCTTTTGTGTGATGAAAAAGTATCTCTTAGTCTGAGAGGAAAATTTCATAAGATGGTGGTGGGACTTGCAATGCTCTATGACGTTGAATGTTGGACTTTAAAAGAGAAGCATAATTCCAAGTTAAGTGTTGTCAAGATGAGAATGATTAGGTGGATGAGTGACTTTGCACTTAGAGACAATGCGAAATGATTATATCTGTGATAGGGTTGGCATAGCTCCAGTGACGGACAAAATTAGAGAGAGTCGTCTTATATGGTTTGGTCACATTAAACGTCGACCATCTGATAATCCGATTAGGAGAGTAGATATTTTAGATTCGACTTATGTTAAGAAAGGCAGAGGTAGACCTAGGAAGACTTGGGCTTATTGTATAAAAATGATCTTAATTTATTAGAACTAAATGAAAATATGACACTAAATAGGGTGCAATGGAGAAAAAGGATTCATGTAGCCAACCCCACGTAGTGGGATTAAGGCTTCGTTGCTGATGTTGTTGTTGTTGTTGTACTGGAAAGTTTTTGAAGTGTTAGCAGAGATTCTATTTCCAAATTATTTTGTTTTCCCTTATGACAAGTGACCATGAAAGCTCTCATTTCTGTAACTTTTATTTCGGAGTAGCCATTGAAATGCCTATCTTAAATATTTTTAAGGACAATAGGAATAGAAACTCTTTTTGAGTTCTCTTTTTAGACTGGCAACAATGAATTGTTGTGCTTTAGTCTTTACTGTTGATTATTAGTTTTCCGTTCTTTGTTTTGCCTGTCAGTTATTTTAGTACATTTCAAGCTAACGAAAATGCTCTTTATTGCAGATATAAGCCAGTTTTTGACTATTTCCTGGAGTTCTCAGAGGTGGCATTTAGTGTAGTTGCTGACAATTATGTAACTGATGATAGTGGAACTGGGGTTGTTCATTGTGCTCCTGCATTTGGTGAAGATGATTATAGGGTCTGCATAGCTGCTGGTGTTATCCAAAAGGTATATATGCCCATGTTTTATTTATGTCGTCAAATTAATAATTTATAAAACCATAAATGAACTGGAAAGCAAGCTTGTCATTTACCTTTTCAGCTAGAATTTGGTCAATGATATCCTCAAGTGTAGTTTCCACATTGAGTTAATGTTTTTAAATTTAGGTGATGATAGTTTAACCTTGCATTGATCAATCATTTGTTTAATAAAAAAATGCTCATTGTTTTAGTTTCTTTAAACTGCGGAAATAATCCACAATTAGAACAAGGGGTTTATGCCCATGGAAATGAGTCATTTATGTGGAAGAGGTGGACAGGCGAAATATGTTATCCATTTTTTATGAGGAGACTTGTTATTAT